CGCGAGTTCGGGACGACCGTCAGTCTGCGGATCGCTTCCAGCCCCCAGCCCGCGATGGGGCCGGCCCCGCTGGGGCTGCTGCTGGGGCTTTTGCTTCCCGCGCTCCGGAGTGGAGGTGAGTGGGAGCGCCGACGGGGGCAGCCCGGGTGCTGAACAGCTTTGCACACATCCCTGAGCCCCAGCAGGGCCGGGGCGTGGAGAGCGGAGAGCCCACTCACCCGCGAGTCGCTGCGCCTCTACCGAGCCACCGAGCCACCGAGCGTGTGTCCCCAGAGCACCCGGCTGGAGGCGGAAGCTACGAGGGGGATCCAGCCGGTGGACCCGACCCAGAGGAAAGTAGGACCCGGGTCTGGTATGGAATGAGCCAAGAACTTTCCACTGGCCCCTGTTGCGAGGTTGGGCCGCGCTCAGGCCGGATTTCGTGGCTCCGCGGACCCAGCTTCCCGAAGGACCGGAGCCCAGCCAAGGAGCTGGTGTCGTCGCTCCGTTGTCACCGCCCCGGTGTCGCGATCGGCAGGGGCCAGGGCAAGGAGCCGTGGAGGCGGCTTCCACCCGGTGCGCGTTCTTCTTCAGGGACGCGGGGCCCGGGGCCGGGGAGGGGATCGCTTTTCCGTCTGTTAGTCCTGTTAGGGCAGCATAGACTCCGCTGTTCCCGCGCAAAGCCTCGGTTTTATCTCGAGTCCCCCAGATGTTGTCAGGAACGTTTACAGGTAGGACACCAGGGTTGGTAAGAGAAGGCAAGGAGGTTAGGTTCCATTCCTCACGATAGCTCGGACAGATTTGAGGTTGTGGGCTGATGCACTTAGGGCAACTGGAAGAAACTCACCAGGTTTTGCCCGAAAGAAAAATAAACAGGAGGTGAGGGAAGGACTAAATGAACACGGACTAGGCATTTTCCCTCCCCTGAAAGGCCTCTGCTTCTATTCAGCTATGGTTTCTGTCTCTTTATTCTGAACCTAGTTGACTTTTATACTCCAAGATGTCTTTTACAAATACCAGGAAAGTTCAGTTTATAATCAAGCAACTTACTCTTTTTCAAGATTTTCCTTTTAAAGTTTAGTTATTCAAATGAGGAATTCTTAAACCTGCATTCTCCTTGTGCACGTTAAATTACATAAGCAATTTATAATTTGAGGCAACATAAGCAATTTGAAGCAAATATGGAGCCAAAACCAAGCAAAGAACTGAGGCCATTCTGTTCTGCACCTCGTCATCAACAAATCCTCAAAAATCTCTCAGCGTCTCTGCCAGATCCATTTCTCATAATCTGGTGAAAATCTGATGTATTTTACTACCAGTGATGGTCATTCGTACTCTTGGAGATAGCGAGTGCATAACTATTGTGAGAAAAGTAAAAGGAACTATACTTTTTGTTTATGATATTTAAAATTTGCTTGTTTCTAATTCCTAAATTATTTTCATTGAGTTTATTCGTACTTTTTAGGTTTACAGTACAGTTACATTCATCATTGTACCTTTACATGACAGATCTTGGTTCTCATTTTTTCCCCATACCCCTGCCCTCCCTTCACCCCCTCTGCCCTTCCCTATTTCCTAATTTTTTAAAAAGCTGTACTACAGAACTTTTGTGACCCATAAGGAGCTGTAGTCAGGTAATCATAAGTCTTAAAATTCACCCAGCAGGAAAAAGAAAAAGTTTCTCCAGTTTTTCCTCTAACTTTTGCTTTTTATCCTGAAATGTGCCTGTGAGATATCTGTGTTTCGTTTTAGTTTGTGAAAGTCTTACAGGATAAAATTTCATTTTTCTAAGGGCCTGGTACATGTCAGGCAAATGCTCTACCACTGACTTATGTATACCCTCAACCTTGGGATGAGAATCTCACTGTGAGAATTAGAACACAGAGAAACAACAGTGCTGTGTAAAGAGATTAAAAATAGAAATTAGACTCTTTTGTCTAGTTTTGAGTTTTTCATGTTGCATACTGTGGGGCCGAGTGATTTACTGACCATTAAATAGTAGAGATAGGGTGTGAGTATGTAGAATCTACACTGTAGAGAAATGGATAAGTGGTTAAAATGTAAGCATCACTATAACCCAGAAATTCTCTCCACCGCCAACATACACATAATAAACACCATCTCACGAAGGCACGCGGGAGGGGAACGGCTTAAGCAGGTTCATTTCAAAGCTTTCCAACTCTTCCTTTCTGCTGGGTCTCTGATGGGGGCGCCAGTGAGTAGCAAATGGAGATGAAGGGTGGCTCTAAAGGGGACCAGAGAGAGGATGGAGAAGGCAAAAATAGGAAAATGTGTTAAAGTCAAGGCATATTGAGGACTGAGCCCATGGTGAAGCTGCACTCCTAGAGGAAATGGGGCTTGCAAAATGGTTAATGTTAATGTTTCTCTTCCAAATTGATACTGTAACATGTGTTCCAGTATCTTGTATACATTTTCACAGGGGGAAGTTTGAGTTGTTACTGGTAAGCTTTGCTACAAGGGGCCTCAAAAACCCTTTGGGTGGCACACTCTGGAAGGCCGAGGGAGGAGGAATGAAAGTATGAGCCCAGTCTGGGCGACTTAGTAAGATTGTCTCAAAAAAATACAAAGGGGGCTGGGATGTAGCTCAGTGCAAAGACCCTGAGTTCAACAAAACACAGTACAATATGTATGAGGGAGGAGGAATGAAAAGTATGAGCCCAGTCTGGGCGACTTAGTAAGATTGTCTCAAAAAAATAAAAAGGGGGCTGGGATGTAGCTCAGTGCAAAGACCCTGAGTTCAACAAAACACAGTACAATATGTTTTGGGTGCCTTAAAGAGAAAAAGTTAAAAAGGGGTGAAGAGGGTTGAGGATGTAGCTTAATGTGAAGGTCCTGGGTTCAACTCCTAGCACTCTGGGGGTTGGGGGGGATAGGACAATTTTTGGAAATAAGGAGAGGATTTTTTTTTCTTTTTTAAGACAAGTTTATGCTATGAAGCCCAGTCTAGTTTAAAACTTGCAGTCCTTCTGCCTTAACCTTCCGAGTGTGGGGTTACAGGTTTGAGCCATCATGCCAAACCAGCAGGGCATATTTTAATGAACAAATGAAGTTTTAAAAGTTTTTCCGGCCCATTTTCTTAAAATATTGAGATGGTCACTGTTATTTTTTTTAAATTAATAATTTTTAAATCTGGGTGGCTTTTGTTTATTGTTTTGATCCTGAGGCTCAAACCCAAGGCTTCATGAATGCTAGGCAAGCACCCTAATACAGATATGCACCCCAACCCTAGTCTTATTTTTGGCACTAATTTCCAGACATTCCTGGGAGAAGGGGCAATGGGGTCAGCCCTGCTGACTTGGGAACAGGTTGACAGGTTGAAAAGCTGAGATGAGACCTTGAACACACACGTCGCAGCTACTTTCCACATCTTCATCGGGCTGAGAGTATGGAAAATGAATTTAATTGTGTCCCTGTAAAATATCCTCCGATAGCTTTCATTTTTGCAGAGATTCACCGGGTCTCCCTTCCCTCTTTGAGTCATTTCTAGTCATTTCCCCCTTCCCTGCTACTCAAGCCACCTGCTTGCCTTCATTCTAAGGTCTTGGTTCCTGTCGCAGGAACCCCCAGGCCCCCATCTTGACTCCTTTGGATTTCAGCTCAGATGTTTTCCTGAAAGCGCTTTCACCCTCTGCCCTTACCCCAGCCACCGCTGTTCCCCATTATGTCCAGTTTCCCAATGTTGCTTCATATTACTTGATCTGCTCCTCTTTATTAATTCAGTGGCTTCTCCTCCACTGTCCTTTGTTGTACTCGGCCCTGCACATCTCTTCGGGGCTTCTTCCTACTGGCTTTTCTAGAAACAGAATTGTTACAGCTCTCACCCTTATGCTTTTTGACTTGATTGATAGAAAATCATTTTTCCCCCATTGGAGTGCCCAAGTGATTTCATTACTAGAGAAGTTAGGAAATTAAAAGTAGTTGGAGTTTGGGCCAGGGATTTAGCTCAGTGGCACCATGTCTGCTTTGTAAGCGCAAGGTCCTGAGTTTGATCCCTGGGATCACAAAACAAAATGAAAGAAGTTAGATTTTGGAATAACACAGACCCCAAACATATTTATATTCTCCTTAACTATTCTAACTAGGAAAAAATTCAAAAAACGATGGTGGGAGTAACAAAAAATACAGTTTTAATATTTCCTTGGATGAGATCCCCTGAGTGCCTTGACTTTGACTGGTGGTCACTAGTTTAATCTTAACCCAGAGCACATGGTTCTGGTTGGTATGCAACACTGCAAAGAAGGCTGATTAATACAAACACTTTTGAAAAAGAGGGTTCCCCATGCACACTTCTGCAATGAAAGCATTAACTGTTCTGGCATCTGTGAGCCTTGGGTGGGCGTTAACTCTCAGGACTTCCGGTTTATTTTTGGTGCAGGGGGACAATTTCATAGAACTGTTGGGAAGGATGAAATAAGCTACTAGCACAACTAAAATGCAGGGAAAATATTAGCCATCATCACCAGTGGTTCCCTTCTGTATTTCTGAAGTCACATTTGGGAGTAGTCCTTTTTCCTAAACAAAAGCACTTGAGGTTTTATTTCCTAGGAGTTCGGCCAGCAGAACCCACGCAGGGCCTGGGAATTCCTGGCCAAGCCTGGCATTACCCTCCCTACACCTCGCCCTACAGCTGCCTGTGCTGTCCAAGTCTCAGGAAGGTATGGAAATGAAGTCCACTTCCTGCTCAACCTTCCCCACATAACTACTCCACAGTGGCTGTGGGTTTTGTTCAGTTTGGTGTTTGTTTGGGTCTTGGCTCTCTGAGTGTCAGCATGCAGGCCATCCCTTTCCTCTTTACCAGCTCCAACTAGTTTTTCCAAATGAAGTCTTTTTGCTACAGCAAAGAGAAAATGAGCATTGCACTGTGCAAGAGTGCAGGGTAAGCTTGCAGGAACTGAGAGGGCAGAGAGCCTTGAGGGCGCTCCTGGTGGTAGCATAGCTGAGCCCTTGGGGACACGGGCCAAGCCCTGGCTCCTCTTCCCTGGATGCGGGGCATTTGTGCTAACCTCTGTCTGGAGATAAGCCTGTTCCTTCTCATTACCCTTTCCTTGTTTTTGACCTCCTGCCTCCTGCTGAACAGCTGACATCTCAGCCTGGCTGAATGGAGTATTCCATTCA